CCCCAAAACCCCAAAACCCCAAAACCCCAAAACCCCTTAAATTACAAATCAAATTGTAAATTTAAAATGGAGGAAACTGCTAAAGATCCCAGCCAAGAGCAAACTTGTAAGCCATAATTTATATTTTTGGATTAAAATTAAAGTTTTGGGCTGTGCTGAGAGGATATAGCTTCAGGAATTCCGTCACAAAATCTCCCTGCTCAGGAAAATGCTGAAGGTAAACAAGTATTAGATCTAGAAAGAACTAAAGAGAGGTAAAATGCTTCTAGATATCTGTAATTCAATTTTCAAATTAGTAATTGTATCATTTCTACACTTGTTTTCCTATTCTCCCTGCTTTACAGTCTATAGTACTTCAATCCCAGTGGAAAAAGCAAAGATTCCTTTATCTCCTGAAGAAATGATGGAAAGCCTGATGGAAAAATCGATCGAAGAATTAGTTGAAATCAAGCTCAGGAATATCCAAAGCTTCAAGGAGCTTAAGTTCTGATATGAAGGTCTTGAGGACGAGAACGAAGCTTTGAATAAACTAAATTCTACATATAAGCAACACATTGGGGAACTTATCGAAGCTGGAAAATATGCTATAGGTATAGCTCTGTGATATGATCTATAGATTCTATGAATCATGAAAAGACAGAGAAGTCAAGCTTTTTTAGTAAATTCAATTTCCGTAAGAACAAGAAGAAAAAGAAGGGAAACTTCAACACCATCGGGAAATCAATCAAATTAAGCGAAAATATTGGAGATTTTAAGAGATCAGATCCTGCTGTTGGAGCAGGTATCACTCTAAAAAATGACATTAAACAGAAAGAAGCTATTGATAAAGCTCTTGGAATTCAAGGATATGTCAAACAAAAGTCCCGACCCACCACAGTTATCCAAAATATTGAAGATGAAGCGGAAGGAGAATGAGAACCCCCTCCAACAAAAGAAGATTTCCATGCTAATTTAGAATCAGAGAAGAACAATGAAGAGCAAGAAGAGAAGAAAGATGAGCACCTAGAAAAACCAAAATCAGAAGAGCAGCCAGAAAAAGAACAACAACAAGAGAACCCAGAACCTGAAGAAATCCAAGTTGAAGAAGATGATATAGTTCAAGAGGTTCATGAAGTTTCTGAACCAAAAGAGGATCACATAGAAAATGAAGAACTCCATGAAGCAAATAAAATTGAACTTGAAACAGAGGAAGTTAAAAAAGAAGAAAACCATAATGTGAGTAATGAGAAAGACCTAGAACAAGTAAAAGAGCCAGCCCAAGTTCAAGAGCCGGCTCAAGTTCAAGAACCAGCTCAGGTTCAAGAACCAGCTCAAGTTCAAGAGTCAGCTCAGGTTCAAGAGCCATCTAATGAACCTTCTCAAGATCCACAAGAGGAAGAAAGCGATAGTTGAAACGAAATTCCAGCTGTAGCAGAAAGTTCTGAGCCTGACCTTCAGGATGAAAACTCTGTAGGACATCCTCCAAAAGACCATTCAGATAGCAAGGATGAGTCCCTACAAGAGTCAGAAGAAGTGAGCGAAAATGAAGATCTTAGTAACCTGAGCGGAAACCAAGATGCTGAAGAAGAGAAGGGTATAGAAGGACTTATAGAAGTAGCAAGAGATAATCATGAAGAACCTCACCAAGACTCAGATCAGGATGACTACAGAAGTGAAGAAAGTTACGGAAGCGAAGAAGGAGAGCAAGATGATAATGGACATCAAGATAAATCTCCGCCAGAGAAATAGAGATTGTGTAATTTTCAATTGGGTATATATCCCCTGGGGTTTTGGGGTTTTGGGGTTTTGGGGTTTTGGGG